TAATATAATTGATTCCATTTAAATTTACTGATTCATTATAAAAGAATGTATTTTGGCGTCTGTCCATGCACTGGCAATGGTGAACGATGCGACATCCAGGCACTCAGCGGCGTTGACAAGGTTGATGTATTAGTTTATTTCGTACGGTTTTTTTCTAGCGTTTCTCAAGTAAGGCGCCGCTAATTGAATTAGCGGCGGCACACCATAGCCTTGATTACGATTAGCTTAATCGTAATTAAGGCTGTGGTGTGCCGACGACCTTAATCACGATTAACTCGCTAATCATGATTAACTTTATGCATGATTAGTTTTAATCGTGATTAAGGCTGTAGTGGGACCCTAGTGTAAGTCTAGTTTTTCTTTATGTATTTGAGGTATTTTCTCGGCATGTACGCCAATTTTAACAAAAAAATCTGCTTATGTTGTTCTTTTAAATACATGCGAATTAACGCAATGCTCAGCAGAGAACAGAATGAGTTAAAATAACGAGCAGCACTATTCTTCGCTATGGTTGAAGTTGATTGTTCAGTTAACATTGTCGATGGTACCGGTGGCGGTATAGCTAAAAATGCCCTTCTTACTAATTCATCAAAGATGGAAACATAATTTTGTCGAATCATCTGGTTCAACTCATCTATGATCGATGGTCGATCACATTCAGGTTGATTACACAAATAGTACTGTAGTTGAATGCTTGAGTACGAATTTCGAGTGAATCAAGCTGAGTCAAATTTAATCCAACATTTTCCGTAGGACTGATACAATGTGAATACACATCTGTAGAGTTATAACAAGATAGTTGTGCCGGACAAGCACTGGAGTCATATCTACCTGACCAACAAAAAAATGGGTATTGAGTGTTATTGTAGCATTGAGATGATATATTTTTTCCATAATCAGTCAATTTATTTATGAGGTAAGTACGAACAGCTTCATGCTTGAATTGAATCAGTTGTTCGACAGCAAATACAGCAAATTTTACCGAACAACTGTCATACGAGAAACAATTGTAATATAATTCCTGATGAATCATATCTTGATCAAAAATCGTTTCCAGACGAAGATTCGTCATATTATTACCAATGGTAAATCTTGTTTGTATGTGACGGGAGGAATGATCAAATGAGATGGAAGCAGAGCAGCCACTAGTTGATGAAATTAGATTCGAGGAGCAATGCCGTGGAAATTCAATTGGATCGCCAAATGACATATTAAACACACAAGAAGAAATACAGTCGATACTCTTTTGACTAAATGCCCGTGTGATGAGAGCGAAGATCATAATAAGTTTTGGCAACATTTTCAAAATAAAGATGTTGAGATCATTTTTAACGTGATATATATCATGGGCGTTCTCCTGTTCTCTTTCGTATGACAAATACTATGAGTCATAATATTGATGTCAAAAAACAGATAGAAGATAAAATGAAACAAGTTTGTGAAACTCTGACAACGTTTCAGGTATTGAGGTTCTGTAGTCATAATTATTTTATCTATAGTTCAGTAAAAATAATTTCTCCAGAAAACAGAACAGAATAAAAAAAAGTTTATCATCCATCGTCCGTTGCAATGTTTCATTGCCTAACGAAATAAAATTCAACTTATGTATTTCAAACATAAATGTTTCGTCACGTATATCTTACATAACTTTAATATTGATATTACACAAATTTGTTATATAAGCATAACAAATCCTCTTTTTTGTTCGTTCTTAGATATCTAACTTCATACTATTTTCTAGAAAAAGACTTGCTATGTATCGGATGTTCGGAAAGTCACTACCCAATAAAAAGTTTTAATAACTCCGCCATTTCGCAACGAAACTTCAAGGTAGTTTGTTTGTTTGTTAGAGAAACGTTCCAAGTTTTATTTCATACGAATGGAAACGTTTGTCTAAAAAAAGATCAATACCGAAAAATAATAAAACTTACAACAGATGTTTTTTGTGTAAGAACTTATGATAGCGACATTACCGTGAACGACATTACCGCGAATATTGCATAATACACATTTGGGTATTTCTGGCAGTGTGTGGTGAGCGATGGGAGTGTGAACAGTGCGTGACGATATGTCGACATCTCCACGAACTCACATTACTGCAACAGTAGATCCGCCACGACTCTTCCACAATTTTTTGAAAATAGATTTTAAAAAACTAAACATTAGAAAACAAACAAAATAACTGGTGAATCTAGTCGTTATTAAGATTTTATTACAGCTTTATCTTCAATTAGGCAGATATCAGATAACCATTTGAAAACCTCAACAGAATTCATACGACATCCCAAAAATAACGTTCCAAAATATCTGAATTTCACTATAATAAATCGTATGATGCATGCCAGTTTTATTCGTATGAGAAAATGAAATGGTTCATGAATCCTTTTGTGTAGAAGAGGTTTTCAATTTCTACAACCAATTGCGTTTCACAATCGATATTTGCGCAGAGCAGCGTCTCGTAATGATTTGGAATATGTGGGTACTGACGAAGAACAGAAGCAATTGAATGAACAATACAGCCATAGATGGAAAAGAATTCAATAGCACACCGCCTAGACAAAGGCTCTATTTAGGCGAGACAAATCTCGATCGATATTTGATCCAAGGAAACTTCTGTAAACTTAAAATCTTTATAGGCAATAGTGTGTGGATTATGAATGTCGACTATTTTACATCATTGTTGTGAAACTGACTCTAACCAGTTGAGATCGATTGCAGATAACGTTGTAATATAATTGATTCCATTTAAATTTACTGATTCATTATAAAAGAATGTATTTTGGCGTCTGTCCATGCACTGGCAATGGTGAACGATGCGACATCCAGGCACTCAGCGGCGTTGACAAGGTTGATGGAGATGCGGAAATTATTCATAGCCTGCTTTTAATGGGCCATTTGAAATGGCCAAGTTCTGAAAGTAACCAACTGAAATACACCTCAAGATTTTGTCAGTTAATTCCCTATGCAAATCTCTGTTAATTTCCATTTCACAATTCATTTCTTTTGCAATTTCTTCTATAAAATCATTTGCAATTTTTAGGCTTTTGGCATGGACATAATGATCTGTACACCATGTTATTTTACTACATTCATCCAACCATTTCCAATAGACATTTAAAAGAGTTCTATGATCATCACTCGGATGACTAAATTCCTCTCGCGCTTTCATCACTTTCTTTTTCTCGTCAGCATCCTTTCCTCTCCATGAAATATTTTGTGATGTAGTTAACATACCTGTTATAATCAAGGTTTGAGACAGGCAATCCAGTTTTTTAGCTCTGTAGAGTATGGCTGTTCATTTAGGATCAACACCGAGATGAGACATATTTCGACTGAGATCTGTTAAACTATTGTTGTCATTTAGAGCTTTTAGCCAAATCAGAGTTTGATGAGCTTCACGAATCCTGCCTAGTGGCGATGGTTCAAGCCATTCAAATAATTCAACACTATCAATTCCAAAGTTTTTCAGTTTTAGAATAGCAAGTGTCGGTTGAATACAAATGATTTCTGGATGCGAACATTCGTTCATTGATTCGTATGTTACAACTGTATATAAATGGTAACACTGGAATAACTGAAATTCTTCACCGAACTTTTCGTGACTTGACCAATTTTCAATACTTGCATCTTACGTTTCTCATGCCACATTTTCTCTTTGACCATACCACTTTCAATCCCGTGTTTAATTCCGTCAATCGTCACCGACGTTTTCGCCACATTTGTACTAAATATTATTTTACGTCTATCCAGTATCTTCTTAAATATTTTTCCACTCTCTTCCTCAGAGAGCTTTCCATGCAATGGTAGAGGTTCGTATGTAATAGAGGTTAATTCTTCTTAGTCTCTATTGAATCCTCTTCTATCCACTGCCTTGTGTGTATATAGAATAAATTTATTAAAAAATAACGTTGGGAGCTGATTACAGCGCATAAAAAGAGATGACGAAACAAACCAGAGCAAAAAATGAATAAAAACGTTACCCATATTCTAGTCGATGATATTGACGATACGAAACTGTTAACTGCATGATAAGAACCTGACTGTGTGATAAGAACTGTGTGTATGTGCTTTATATATGTGTGACTGTACACAGAAAAAACGTTCTAGAATCTTACTCTTTGTTCTATCTATTCTTTGTCTGTTTATATGTGAACACAGAATTGTGTCCTGTTATTACGAAATTATCTATATAGATATATAGTCAATGAGTGACGAGGACGAAAAGAGGACTAACTGTACTTGTATAGTCAACGACAGAAATAAAACAAAAGAAATAATAACAAACGACAAGTAAAGAAATAGACAGTTAACGGCTCTGTAGCCGTTAACACCGAGATGATATTTCAGCAACTTCTGGTCGTGGGGACAAAACTGGTTCTAACACTGAATCTTGATCTGGTGCCATTATAACTAGACGTTCTTCTGTTCCCATACTGATGGTTTGTAGAGGTGTTTCTAATTGCGGTGTTGAAATGTCGTTGTAAAACTGCGGTTGTGGTAAGGAATTAAGGATAATAAGGATAATTAAGGAGATAACTGCGGTTGTGGTAAGGAAAAACTATACCTAGTACAAAATTTGTACATACTTTGTACATAGTTCATACAGAATGTGACATTTTTGCAAAAACCTTTGCGTCATCCGTTATTTTATCTTTACTTCATGGCAAGTGTACCAGAAAAGATTTAGAAAACCTTATGTTTCTTTTATTCGAACGTCTTTTAAAAAGCCTTTCAACACAAGAAATTGTTTTTAGATCTTCTTGAATTATTGAACAAACACATCCATATCTTCAAATTGTCTGCCCGTTTTGACGTATTTTAAGACAACTTCAAGATATGGATATGTTTGTTCAATAATTCAAGAAGATCTAAAAATAATTTCTTGTGTTGAAACGCTTTTTAAAAGACGTTCGAATAAAAAAAGCATTTCTAAATCTTTCTAAGGCAATGGATTTATCTCTTTCTGTTTCGCCTTGTATTCTACGGTCTACGTAAGAACAAGTCACATAAATAGAAGAGAAAAAACTATTTCTTCTTTTCAATACGCTTCTAGTTATAAATACTAAGTCCACATCGCATGAGTAAAACGGGTTATTACCCAATTGGTTTCATTCATGTGTTGTGCGCTGATGTGTAAGTAGAAACGTATCAAGAGGAAGAAATTTAGAGCACAAAACGCAAAAGGAAAGAAAAGAAAGAGATCAATCCGTTGCATGAAAAATGAAAAGAAAAAAAGGACCCGGTTGCGTTCGCTCGCTCGTCAGCCTTGGACATGAAATGTTTTCTCTTTTTATTATAGATATATATATAAAGGAGAGAAAAGAAAGAGATCAGTCCGTTGCATCATATATATATTGATTCATATCCGTTGCATCATATATATTGATTCATATCCGTTCCATCATATATATATATTCATATATATATTATTGACGAAAGGTATAGCAAGGAAATAGTCAGAAAACGCAGATTTTATCGACGTTCAATTCAAATAACAGGTACTATATGTGTTCTCATAGATAGGATGTCGAAGATGAAACAATACAAGTCATGTAAACCTGTAAAACTGTAAAAAAAACACTCTACTTTCGTGGAAAATCGCGCAGGCTATTATCAAAAAATTAATACAGGAGTATCCTCTCCTCTTGTTTAAGCATCATCCGGAAATCGGCGTCGCCGCGAGTTCTTATATATTGAAGTGTTAAAGTGTACAACTGAGCGTGAAGAAGTGAGGCCGAGGGTGAAAAACTTCTCCACCAACTTCGCCCTCACTTCTCCACCCTCACTCTCACTCGCCGCGATTTCGTATATGATAAGGTGTTAAAGTGTTAGCACTAAAGTGTTAACACTTTAACATCAAACTCGCGGTGATGGCGATTTCCGGATCTTATGCTTGCTTAACCTTTTTGAAATCCAACAGGTCAATATCTCATTGAGCTTTATTGAGAAAACTTTAATTTTGTATTGAATCGCAACACGATTTCTGGCAAAAATTGTTCGACTGGGTTGACACTTCTATCACAGATACTTTTCATACGACAACTATGCATTGTTGCTCAAGATGTTTGAAAAATACGACATATTCTGTCTAAAACATCGCGAATGTTACCATGGGAAGCTAAGAGTAGCCTAATGTAGCTCTGGTCAGTGCCAAAAATCTTTGCAATGTTTTGCTCAAAGCTGAATCTTTTGTAACCAAAAAATCTGTGGAAATGTTAAGACATCTTCTACGAATCAGAAAGTTCTACCAAAGTCTAAATGGCTGTGCACTTTGCTAAAGAATCATAGTGTAACAACGAAGACTGATCTGTAGAAAGATTACTACTTTAATTAAATAATACTCGTCCATCTCTGTAAAACGTGTGAATCGAGCAGCTCTTCGATCAGACACTTGTGGAGGATTTTAATAGGGCTTATTGCATTTTTTGCTGTGGCACGAATTTGTGCTCTAGTAAACTGTTCTTCAAGAACAACTACAAAAACATCATTAGAATAGCAAGACTCTTGACGTGTTTCAACGTATTATCAAGGTATCATAATATAACATCATAGAGAATGGAAGAATAAAAAAAGGTTGTTATAAGCTTTATTTAGTAAGAATGCAAGAAGAAAAAGGACTAAGTTAAGAATAAATATAAGAACAGCACAAAAAGAAAGAGGAAAAACCCATGACATCATTTTGTCTGTTCATTAAGAAAAAAGTTGCTAGTGTAAAATAACATTAAAGATACACACACATAGTATACATTAGGTCTGACTGATAAAAGACACAAAGATGAAAAGCAAGTGAATAAATAACAAAAGGAAGAAGAAGAAAAAAAAATGTATATAAAAAAATAATGTAAAATAAAAAAGATAGAAAGAAAATGCTGTTACTTGATATGTTACTTTCCCGAATGTTTCAAATTAGAAGACATGTTGTGTTATACAAGACTCTCCCATGCGGTGGAGAGTTTATAGAGTAGTATGAGGTAATTCGGGCCCCTTGCACGAAGTTTCTTAGTATTTTGCGTATTTCTAAGCCGTTTTTGATCGGAGAAGCTTGCTATTGAATATGAAGA